CTGGGTGCACACTTTTCCTTCTGGGAGGATGGTTATGCCAAACATGTAATCATGTCTTTCCTGACAGTTAAAACAATTAATCAGTGGAACGATTATAAATGCTCCAATACTGGAAATTTTTAAGAAGAGATTGGGCAACCATTTGTTTGAAATGGCACAGGGCTTCCTTGCCTGAACAGGGAGTTGGACTAGCAGACCTCCAAGGTCCCTTCCGACTCTGTGATTCTGTTATCCCCAGCAATTATTGATGTATTGATTGTAAGGTGAGGGCAGAAATATTGGTCCAGTATCTGATTGTTTTTCCCCATATATACAATGCCGCACTTCAATAAGTTAGATGACCGACACGTTGGTATCTGAATATAGCTCTTTTTAGCATTCATATTTTATTGTGGGTTTTTTTTTTTTCCTTAATCAAGGCAAAACGTTAGCATATATCGCAAGCCCACGTGCCATATGCCATACGCTAAATAAATAAATAAATAAATAGTGACGCGCTTCAACATTGACGGTAGATTTTACAGCTCTTTAATTAGCAATATTAATAGTGCCACCTAAGCTTAATGAGAGTAATTAGGAACACCAAGTAAACATAGCTTCCTCACCGTATTCAGAGATAAACTTCCATGCTCAGCTGGGTTCTGAAAGTATTTTTTTAAAAAAAAAAAAAAGATTAGCAATGGCAAAGGGAGTAAATTCAGATTTCCTTTACAAATATAGGGAGTCACCGGTGTAGGAATCAGCTTTGTTCTCGAAGACTGTCCAAAATCAGATGTACAACAGTGGCCCAAGTTGTGGAAAACTTTTGGGAAAAGTGTATTTTCTAAAACCAGCTAATAACACCACTTTTTTTTTTTTTGAGTAGTACCATAAAATTATATATCAATGGAAAGAAGGGGTGAAATCTAAAATTTGTTACTACCTGTTCTGTGGCCGTGGCTTGGTGGTGGTGGTGGGGTAATGTGACTGGGTGGGTGTGGCCAACTTTTTTTTTTTTTTTACTTTTTTCTACAACCTGTAATGAATGAGCGTGAACCAGGGGTGAAATCCAAAATCCAAAAATCCAAAATTTTTCCCTACCGATTCTATGGGCGTGGCTTGCTGGGCGTGGCAGGGGAAGGATACTGCAAAATCCCCATTCCCACCCCACTCCAGGGGGAAGGATGCTGCAAAATCTCCATTCCCTCCCCTCCTGGGGGAAGGATACTGCAAAATCTCCATTCCATCCCCACTCCTGGGGGAAGGATATTGCAAAATCCCCATTTCCTCCCCACTCCAGCGGGAAGGATATTGCAAAATCCCCATTCCCACCCCACTCCAGGGGGAAGGATGCTGCAAAATCTCCATTCCTTCCTCTCCTGAGGGAAGGATACTGCAAAATCTCCATTCTATCCCCACTCCTGGGGGAAGGATATTGCAAAATCCCCATTCCCTCCCCACTCCTGGGGGAAGGATATTGCAAAATCTCCATCCCCACCCCACTCTGGGGCCAGCCAGAGGTGGTATTTGCCGGTTCTCCGAACTGCTCAAAATTTCCGCTACCGGTTCTCCAGAACCTGTCGGAACCTGCTGGATATCACCCCTGGCGTGAACCCTTGTGCATTTCATGTCAATCAATGTGTGTTTAAGTCAAATTATGCTACAACAGGCTCCCTTCCTAGCTATGTATCTGTGGTGTCCTTGAACTCAAAGACTCATTCTATTCCCTTATTTTTAATCATAAAAAGGGAAAAACATCGAGAAACACATATTTGCAAATTGCGACAAGGCAGGTTTGTTTTGTTTTTTGATTTATTTATTTTTTTGTTTGTTTTTGCATTACTGCAGAAATAATCCCGAAGAGTTATTTTGTGTTACCGGGCCAGCGAGTGGTTTTGTTGTGTCACGGGAAGATTATTGAAGGCCAATTGTACCAAAAGGGAGAACGGAAAAGGATTATAGTGGCGTTTCTAGTTATTTTTCTGGTACGCATGAAAGGTAGCAATACATCTGTCAGCTGGATTATTAATAAAGTCTCGCTTCCAGCCTGCACTACAACGAAAGGTTTACAACAGTGGGCCGGATTGAAACTTCAACATTTTATAAACTGTTTGCCTGCAGGTTAAGTCCTCGACGTACGACCACTATTGAGCCCAATGTTTCCGTCCCTAAGAAAGACAGTGTCAGGTTTCGAGGTCGTCTCAAATAAATTGCATTTCAAACAAAGTCTTTGATGAAAAACTCCCATTTATTAAGCACGACATTCTAACTCCGACTCCATCGTAGCCAACACTGACTTCCTGACCCAAAACCCTCCCTTTCCTTTCCCCACTCCTCTGCACTCATTGGCCATCTTCCAAGTCACTCTACTCTACTGCTCCAGCTCAAAGGAATTTCCCCCCTCCCACCCCATCTCCTAGGGGATATTATCTCCAGGGAAAATAAGTAGGTGAAAAGTCAAATGTCCCTTTCCAGACGCCTCCGCTTCTCCTTCTTATGTCAGCACTAGAGTAAATGCAGCTTGAAGTGCTGACAGACAGCTGTTAAATGAGCCATGCAGAAGAGGTGGGATTCACTTACCTTCCCTACCTGTTCACAAATGTGAGCACACGCAGTAGGCGCACATTACGTCCGGGCAGGCGGACAGGCAGAGCCTTCCACAGTCGCTGCTACCAGTTCACCAGAACCGGCCAGAACCGGACGAATCACACCACTGGTGCCGTGCCTTATTTTTTCGACTCTTTGCCATAGTCGTTAAACAAAATTGCTGCAGTTGTTAAGTGAATCGTGCGGTCCTTAAGTGAATCTGGCTTCCCCCCCCCCAATGATTTTGCTTTTCGGAAGCCGGATGGGGAGTTACAAAGCATGACCCCAGGACACGCAACCATCATTGTCCCATGTGCCTGGATTTTGATGGCGTGACCATGAAGATGCTGTGATTGTCGAGTGAAAACTAGTCATGTCCCATGGAACGGTCACTAAACGAATGGTTGTAAGTTGAGAGCTACCTGTGTTTGCATTCAGGTAGTCCTCAATTTACAACCGGTTGCTTAGCGACCATTTGAAGTTACAACAGACCTCCTCAGGGCTACTTAAGGCTCAGATTTGAATGTCCGACAGTTGCTACCTTCCCCCCCCCCAGTGGTCATGTGGCTGCATTTTGGACACTTGGCCACTGGACCACATGTACAGCCATTTATGGCGCCCTGCAGTCATAGGATCACAATTCAGGGTGTTTTTGCTGGAAAACAGCATTTACGTCTGGTTTCCAGTGAAAAACGCTCTTTGCAGACAATGGGTTTCCTTAAAAACCATCACATTCGCTTCACTGGCAAAGTCCATGGTTAAGGCGGGACTAGAAATCAATGTCTCCTGGTGAGTGGCTGAAAATCCCCCAGTCAACTTTTACACCAAAGGTGGGACTAGAACTCTCAGTCTCCTGGTGATTGGCCCAAAGTCACCCAGCCGGCTTTCATGCCTAAGGTGGGACTAGAACTCACAGTTTCCTGGTGGTTGGCCCAAAGTCATTCAGCTGGCTTTCATGCCTAAGGAGGGACTAGAACTCACAGTCTCCTGGTGGGTTGGCCCAAAGTCATTCAGCTGGCTTTCATGCCTAAGGTGGGACTAGAACTCACAGTTTCCTGGTGGTTGGCCCAAAGTCATTCAGCTGGCTTTCATGCCTAAGGAGGGACTAGAACTCACAGTCTCCTGGTGGTTGGCCCAAAGTCGCCCAGCTGGCTTTCATGCCTAAGGTGGGACTAGAACTCTCAGTCTCCTGGTGGTTGGCCCAAAATCATTCAGCTGGCTTTCATGCCTAAGGTGGGACTAGAACTCACAGTCTCCTGGTGTTGGCCCAAAGTCGCCCAGCTGGCTTTCATGCCTAAGGTGGGACTAGAACTCACAGTCTCCTGGTGGTTGGCCCAAAATCATTCAGATGGCTTTCATGCCTAAGGAGGGACTAGAACTCACAGTCTCCTGGTGGTTGGCCCAAAGTCGCCCAGCTGGCTTTCATGCCTAAGGTGGGACTAGAACTCTCAGTCTCCTGTGGTGGTTGGCAAAATCATTCAGCTGGCTTTCATGCCTAAGGTGGGACTAGAACTCAGGTTAAGGCACCTGGCACAAAAGTGGGAGATGGTGAGTTCTAGTTCCGCCTTAGACATGAAAGCAGCTGGATGACTTTGGGCTAATCACAAAGAGACAGTGAGTTCTAGTCCCACCTTAGGCATGAAAGCCAGCTGTGTGACTTTGGACCAATCACCAGGAGACTGGTCCAAAGTCACCCAGCTGGCTTTCATGCCTAAGGCGGAACTAGAACTCACCATCTCCCACTTTTGTGCGAGGTGCCTCAACCGCTAGACCAAACCGGCTCTAATAGGCAGTGCGTACATAGATATGCACACCAAGTATGGTGCATTTTAGCCACTTAGAGATGAATTCTTTCTACAAGCCAGGAGCGAAAAAGGCATCAGCCGGATGGAGGCCGAGACACGTGTCTGTGTTCCTTGCTTTGTGGCCCAAGCTGCGAAACGGGGGCGGGGGGCGGGGGGGGCAGGGGGGGGGGAAACGGCTCATAATAATAAATAACCCGAAAGCTCCGGGGACGAGTGACCTAATCAAGACGTATAATTGTACGCCTTACCTAAATGAAAGCCTCGTTTCTGAAATGGTAATGAGCATCCGTCTGAATTGAATTGCTGTACAGATCAGCACTGAAGGATAATTATAATGTTTAACAAATATATTCCCTTTGGGAACCTGCTGTTTAAAATGCCACTTCCCTACAGCTTCCTGACAAATTATCCAATATCATAGGAGTGGAAGTCCGTCGCCTTTTGGACTCATCCATCTAGGAAATCACCCCGGCTCGGTTCTCTACCCCCTCAGCAAGGAAACCGACAGCCAGCCGGGTTCCCATAAATTTGGATAGTTGCTTTACAATTAGCATATTCAGTTTCATTTAAAAAAAAAACAAAAAACATGCTAACTCTTGCAATGATGCATGGGCCGTTTCTCCTTCTCACCATCTGTTTCTTCCTTTCTTCCCCTTTGCTCTCACACTGCGATGTCACTGGGGCTGCTGTGTGGTGCGACTCTGCAAGGTTTCGTTTCTGGGTTCCAGGGATAGCCGTTGCAGTGACGTTAAGCCACGATATCATTGGCAATCATTACCCTGGCCAAGAGTCCCTCTTTGAGGGAGATGGGCAATTCAGGAATGTAAGAAAGAAAGAAAAGAAAAGAAAAGAAAAGAAAAGAAAAGAAAAGAAAAGAAAAGAAAAGAAAAAAAAAAAAAGAAAAAAAAAGAAAGAAGAAAGAAAGAAAGAAAAAAGAAAGAAAGAAGAAAGAAAGAAAAAGAAAGAAGAAAGAAAGAAAGAAAGAAAGAGGGAGAGAGGGAGGGAGGAAAGAAGGAAGGAAGGAAGGAAGGAAGGAAGGAAGGAAGGAAGGAAGGAAGGGCAATATTTATTTATTTATTTATTGGTTTGATTTATATGCTGCCCTTTCTCCGGAGACTCAGGGCGGCTTACAATGCGTTAAGCAAATAGCCTTCATACTTTTGTATATACCTGCTTAGTAGGGCTTTCGCTCCCCCCTCCCCTAAACGGTGTTCTTTTTTATACAAAGTCAGCTTATTGCCCCCACAATCCGGGTCCTCATTTTACCTACCTCGAAAGGATGGAAGGCTGAGTCAACCTTGAGCCTGGTGAGATTTGAACTTGCAGTAATTGCAGGCAGCTGGTGCTACTTAACAGTGCTTTAATCTGCTGCACCACCAAGGCTCTTATATATAGCACTTATATACCGCTTTACAGTGCTTTATAGCCCTCTCTAAGCAGTCAGTATATTGCACCCCAAGAATCTGGGTCCTCATTTCATGGACCTGGGAAGACTGAGTAAATCCTGAGCCACTCAGAATCGAACTCCTAGAAGCAATGAGTTAGCCTGCAGTACTGCATTCTTACCACTGGGACACCACAGGAAGGAAGGAAGGAAGGAAGGAGGGAGGGAGGGAGGGAGGGAGGGAGGGAAGGAAGGAAGGAAGGAAGGAAGGAAGGAAGGAAGGAAGGAAGGAAGGAAGGGAAAAGGAGAGGAAGGAAGAGTAGGGGACAGGAGTAGGAGAGAAGGTGAGAAGGGGGGAAAGAAATGAGGAGTGGGGGAAAGGAAGGGGAAGTAGGATGAGGAAGGAGAGGAGGAAGGAGAAAGTAAGAGAGGAGAGGAGGGAGGAAAGAAAAAAGGAGGAGAAGAAGAAGGGTTGTTGCAAAATGAGGGAAGAAGGGTAGAAGAGCAACTCCGAATGTAATTAAAATGCCTTATTTTAATGCTTTCTTTAAGGAAAACATGTATATGTAGGATTAATTATGTATAAGAAAATGTACATTTTATATTATGTGTATAAGAAATAAAACTGAAAAACTATTCAAAAAAAAAAAAAACTTCTGGAGGCCAGCAGTTCCACTGGTTAATTGTTCTCACTGTCAGGAAATTTCTCCTTAGTTCTAGGTTGCTTCTCTCCTTGATGAGTTTCCACCCATTGCTTCTTGTCCTGCCCTCAGGTGCTTTGGAGAATAGCTTGACTCCCTCTTCTTTGGGGCAGCCCCTCAAATATTGGAAGACTGCTATCGTGCCTCCCCTGGTCCTTCTTTTCATAAGACTAGACCTACCCAGTTCCTGCAACCGTTCTTCGTATGTTTTAGCCTCCAGTCTCCTAATCCTCTTTGTTGCTCTTCTCTGCACCCTTTGCAGAGTCTCTTCTTTGTATTGTGGTGACCAGAAGTGGATGCAGTAACCCAAGTCTGGCCTCACCAGTGCAGTATAAAACGGTACCATCACTTCCCATGATTAACAGATTAACAGAGTTGGAAGGGACCTTGTAGGTCATCTAGTCCAACCCCCCGCCTAAGCAGGAGACCCTACACCATTTCTGATAAATGGCAGTCCAATCTCTTCTTGAAAGCCTCCAGGGATGAAGGTCCCCCAAGTTCTGAAGGCAACGTCTGTTCCATGGGTTGATTGTTCTCACTGTCAGAAAGTTCCTCCTTATTTCTAGGTTGAATCTCTCCTTGGTCAGTTTCCATCCATTATTCCTTGTCTGGCCCTCGGGTGCTTTGGAAAATAGCTTGACCTCCCTCCTCTCTGTGGCAGCCCCTCCAATATTGGAAGACGGCTATCCTGTCTCCCCTGGTCCTTCTTTTCATTAGACTAGTCATAATCCAATTCCTGTAACTGTTCTTCTATTAACCCATCCGTCAGTTGCAAAGCTGCCTTTTGCAATTGACAGATGGGGTTTTGTCAATGCCAACAGTACTCGGTGTGCTCTAGTTGTGTGCACCTAACGCACCTACTACTATTAGCATTATTTTTAGCCTTCAGGTGCTTTGGAAAATAGCTTGACCTCCCTCCTCTCTGTGGCAGCCCCTCAAATATTGGAAGATGCTCTCCTGTCTCCCCTGGTCCTTCTCTTCCCTAGACCAGCCATGCCCAGTTCCTGCAACCGTTCATCGTATGTTTTAGCCTCCAGTCCCCGAATCCTCTTGGTTGCTCTTCTCTGCACTTTTTTCTAGAGTCTCAACATCTTTTTTATAGTGTGGTAACCAAAACTGGATGCAGTACTCTAGGTGTGGTCTTACTAAGGTCTTACTATGATCTTGATGCTATCCCTCGTAATCAGATCCAGCCTTGATCAGGTTAAGGCTGCCCTACCATCTTCTAAGTGTTCCACAGTCCTGGGCAAGCAACAGTGATTCGACCTCCTGAATATGGGAGCTGAAGAGTGTCATCCAGACCTGAAACTGAATTGATGCAAAACAGCTGGCCGAGGCAGCGAATGGGCTATGCTTTAAAAGCACTTAATATTATTTTGCTCCTTGGAAATGTAATTTTCTCCAAAAGAAACCGCAGGCAGATCAGCATGCCAAAAAACAAAAACAAAAAAAAACCAACCGAAAACCGCTTAGTTTAAGGACAGATTTTTGTCAGCTGCAAAATGGATGATCCCTGCTTTGGGTTATTAGCTTGGAAAACAAAATCAAGACAGCCCAGATCCAGGATCTTTTCAAATTCACATTAATGTAAGAAGAAGAAGGGGGAAAAAAAAAAGAGAAGGAAGAATTTGCTGAAATTAATCATCCCTGAGCTGCCTCCAAAGGCTAATGAAAAGCCTTCAAACCTAAATCAAAACTGAAGAGTTAAAATATAGAGGAGAATCTCTCCGTTTTTTAATATTTTTGCAAGCTCTTTTCTGGAGAGTTTCCTCCTGGTCTCTTCTGATCTTTCTAATAGATAATAAAGGAAGGGCCTGGTGGCTCAGCAGACTAAAAGCATTGTGATTAACACCAGCTGTCTGCAATTACTGTAAGTTCGAATCTCACCAGGCTCAATGTTGACTCAGCCTTCCATCCTTTCTAAGGTAGGTGAAATGAGGACCCAGTTTGTGGGGGCAATAAGCTGACTTTGTATAAATATACAAAAGTATGAAGGCTATTGCTTAACGCACTGTAAGCCGCCCTGAGTCTCCGGAGAAGGGCGGCATATAAATCAAATTAAAAAAAAAAAAAGAGGGGGTGGTGGAAAAAATAATGTGTGGTCATTCCTCTGTCTTCAAAAGCCTGGAAAGTTTGGTGTCCCTTTGAGATAAATAGAAATATGGGGCCTTCAGTGATCTCTCAGCTGGGCTGACTTCTTGCAGACATCTTATTACCTATTAAAGTACAATCATCAGTGCTAGAAGGGAGTTTGGTGGTGATGGTGATGATGGAGGAGGAGGAGGAGGAGGTGGATGACAATGACTGTGGGGTCCTGGGCAGTAGTGGGATTCAATTTCGGCCACTACCAGTTTGTTCGTGGGCGTGGCTGTGCTCGCGGGCACACGCAAGGCTTCCGTGCATTCGCAGAGACGTACGGGCGGGTAGGTGGATCGGGCGGTTTGCCCGATCTGGAGCGAACCAGTAGCAACCCACCACTGCGCACTGGTGCTCTCTGAGCCTGATTGGTTTCTTACAGATGTCTCATTACCCATCTAGGTAACATAATCAGTGCTGGAAGGGAGTGGGGTTTGTTGAGGGTAAAACTGCCCTCTGCAAAGTGGTGCAACGGACCAGACAGCGAATAGATACGTTGCTTAGCAAAACACACAGATACTCACAGACTCTGAACGTTTAAAGAAAAATAAACAGTCTTTACTTGTAGTAAAAAAAAACAAACTTGGCTTCTCAAAACAAAGATAACACTTCTTCAATTAATAATCACGGTTCAACACAAAAACATAGTTTGCTTACAATTCCAGTTCTCTTCAGTAACACAGACAAGGTTCCTTTCAGCAGTTCAACCTTCTAATAGCAGGAGCAGAAGTGAATGAACTTCCTGCCTTCTTTTATGTCTGCTTAGCACAGCCAATTAGTCGTCTTTGAAGCAGTTAAAGTTACAGAACATAGTTTTCTATATATTATCTACCCAACTGTAGGATAAGCATCCAACAGGGTTTGTGGACAGGAGGAGGAGGAAGAGGAGGCTGCGGACTGAAATTTTCCCAATTTCATCATCTTTAGTAAACTGACAATTTCAATCCCAATGAGAGTTTTAGGGGATGGATGAACAAGCCTAGTTTGGAGACAAAGGTTGTAGGAATGGGGTCCAACAGCTCACTCTATTTGAAACCGGGTTCTCAATCTTGGTCTAGGACAGAGGTGTCCAACTCAAGGTCTGGGGGCCAGATTGGCCTGTGGTGCCTCTGCCAGTGAAAACAGAGCTTGTGCCTTGTGGGGGGGGGTGCAAGGCCCACCCGGATTCCGTTTTTGGCCATGACAGCCTCCTGCAGCCCTCTGCCAGCGAAAATGGAGCCCTGGGGAGGCCACGTGCTCGCTCCTTCCTTCCTTCCTTCCTTCCTTCCTTCCTTCCTTCCTTCCTTCCTTCCTTCCTTCTTTCTTTCTTTCTTTCTTTCTTTCTTTCTTTCTTTCTTTCACTTGAACTCACCAAACACAGTTGAAATGCCTGGAGCAATTTACAACATGACTTTGCATCAATTCCAGATCTTAGAAGGACCCCAGGGTTTGGAAGTGAGGCCATTTAGAGTATCCCACTGCTGACACCACACGCTTTTGCTGATCTATCCCCCATCGGGTAGGTCTTTCTTAAATTCAAAGTCAACTCTATCAAGGCCTCTCAA